TTCATAGGCATGGGGACAGGACTGCCAATAAGGTGGACATGGCAGTAACTACCCAAGGCTACAGTCAGTGGCCACTGTCTGGACAGTTGTTACAGCACGTTTTATGGCAGCACACTCCAGAGGAGTCTGGACTGTAGTTTTTTAAGAAGAGACTTGAAACCAAAAGCTATATTCAGATGCAGTAAGCACTGTTTACACTGTGCAACAAACATGCATCTACCTCCTTTTTACTGATAATTAAATATGTTTGCATTAATCCCTACCTACTGTTTTTCCATTATAATAAACTATTAGGACACTAAGATCAGATTAAATCTGATTTTATTTGTCACTATAAAAATAATACCTGCATCTTCCTAAGAAAAATTGTATTCTCTATTTTCTCTGCAGTCATATATTTATTTTTAATAATTTTTGTTTTGTAAACAACACACTGGAGTAGTATGAGATGTCTCAGCAACTGAAGCTATATTCAGACTTTGTAATCACCTTTTACTATGCACTGATACAGATACTGATAGAGGGGAGATGATGTTTATAATTAACTTTTCTTTCTAAAGAAGAAAAATCAAAAGCAAATGGAAACATTTCTGGTTTGTAGAAGTACCAAACGTGACTTCATGCTACTCCATAAAATTCAGTACAACATGGACAACAGGCATGCTCATTTCATGAAATCACCTGGCTATACAACTTGCTGTCTCCAGTAGTCTGTGTGTTTGAAATGGCACAATTACATCTTTCCATTACTGGATGGCTTTGAAATGGCATTGCTGAGTAATATCAGAAAATCTGGTTTTGTGGTTGCAAGGTGCTCTGGAATGTGGAAAACTACACACTTCTGTGACTGCTGCCTTTGTACCTGGCAATTCCAGAAATATGTTTTTAACTGCACAGAAATACTTCCTATATTACTACTAAGGACTTAGTATGCAGATTTCAGCCCATTAGGTAGGATTTGTAAAAAAACACCAAACAACATGCTCCATATCAACAGTGCTTGCAGTAAAGCTGACTCATAAACAACAACCTCATTTTTCCAGTAATATCAGAGTCACAGAGGATCTTTCAGCCTCATCACTTTCTCGTTAGGCTGCCAAAAAATGCTTCAATTGTATTCCTTAGGAGCATTACCTGTTTAAGCAGACTAAGAACAAGCAACTGTGGCTTGATGTGGAAAGTAGGTACCACTATGGTATTGGAAAAATTACTGCAAGACCTGATGTTAAACACATTGCGAATGGAAAGAAGGGTTTTCATAGTGCTTTAAATTACAGAGCCTTTTTAATGTTTTCTATTGGAAAACCTATCCATTGTGATGACTCCGAGGTGTTGGACCCTTGTGGAGGCCTTGAGCAGTCTGTTAAAACTACAACAGTGTCATCATCTAGGCTTAAGCTAAACAAATCAAACATTCAATTTAGGGCAAATTTACAGCTCTTATTCTATAGACTCTTATAAAAGAAGTAAGTTCAGCATAAAGCTTTCCTGTATCCACATGAAACTATGGACTCTTAAGTTAACTTTTCCACGTTAGACTACATTCTACCCATAGATAAAAGGAAACAAGTTTCTGAATGATTCTGCATCTTACACATCTCTGCTTCTTGTGAAACCAGGTGTGAAATGCAAGTAGCTGGAAGGAGTGTACCAAGCTACATGTTAAAATCTCAATTTCACAGCCACATTCAAGAAGAAATCTCATGCACACTGAGTGGTCTTTTATTCCAAGCATCTCTCCATTTAAATGTCTGGTGAAGAGCAATCCATCCTTGCAACCCTATGGAGCATTTCTCTGAATATGTTAAGAAAATAAGTTGTACTGCTCCATAGAAAACTAGAACACTACCACTTTCTTATGATCTCTCATTTATAATAGAACCAAGAGGTTTGTGTAGCCTTTCTAGAGAAGAAGGTCCTACCCAAGAAATGAACTATAACAGATATCAGTCCATAGATAACTTCCTCTAAGTGATGTGCTCTAAGCTGCACCCCTCTTTAGCTCTGATTGGATGCTGAAGGAAGGAACTCCTTTCTCTTTTTGAAATCACAGAAAAAAACCAGAAAGAAATCCTTGGCTGTTAGCTTGGTACAAGTTCTTACCAAATTGAATGTGAGTTTTCCCCTGGGGTCAGTTTTTGTCTTTCCATTCTACAATAGCACTCACACATCCATGAACACACACACAGGCTCACACTGAAGCTTGAGGGAACAGAGCAGATGAGCAGGCAGCTAGAGCAAACATATTCATTTACACTTGTTTGCTCTAACTAGATCCAAATTAATTTGTGAAACACTCCCTTTGGGCCTGGTAGGCTGCTGAAAGCAGAAGACCATTTGGTTTTCCTCCTGATACTTCAAGTAATTGTACGGTTAACATCTGCTGGGCTCTTCTTCTCACTGAGAGCTCCTGTCCTCCATATCTCCATCCCTGCAACAGTACCACAGTTACAGATTCTCAAACCCCTTTTTTAACTCCATACTATGGCAATGCAACCCTGACATGGAACTATACAGGCACTGGCAGCAGATCTCATCTTTCAAGAAATTGAGACTGACAATGATATCACTTTGTCTCAAATTTTTTTTTTCTGTTTTTATACAAGTACCACAAACACTTCTCCTGCTTCCCTAATGAAGCACAGTTCACTCTTTGCCTAAAATATGGTATAGATAGGATAACACAGTTTAATACTATTCCAATTAGATAATAGTGCAATCAGAAAAATGGTCACATTTTAACTTTCAAACTTACCATGACTTAACAGAAAAACAGGGATACAACTACAGAATAGGAAAACTATTCTGAGACTTCCCTCAGTGAAACAATTGAGTATTTCCCTGCATCTGTCCTTTCTTCCTATCTCACACATCATAGATGGTTTCTTTTTATTGGCATTAAATCAAAGGCTTTGGTATGAACATATTGGACACTGTTTCCAGTATGCAGCAGTAATTTACGGTAAAATACATGCAATAAGGAAAACAATAAATATCAAATTAGTGAAAAACACATTGCAACAAAGATGGCCTTAGAAAATTCTAGAGGTGTGACCTGAATTAAAAAAGTACAGAATTTTAAAATATGCAATTGTGTAAAAAAGAAAACACAAGATAAATTATTCCAAAATATCTCATCGTTTACTGTAAAATAGTTACATGACCATTTAACTACTGCTCATTCTGTTGACAATCAAACAACATAAATATTTGACTGGAGCAACATTTCTGATGTAAAATTATCTAGAATAAAATAAAACTTGAAATCAGGAAATGCAAGCCAGGAGCAAGCTTAGGAAGTTTCTGCTGTAACTTCCTGCTCACAGCAAGTCAGCTTTGCACTCAGACCAGGCTGCTCAGGGCTTCATCCACTCAGGACTTGAAAACCTGCATGTTGGAAGACTATACCATCTCTCTGGACACCCTGTGCCTCTGCCTGACTAATCCTCATGGAGAAAAAAGTATATCCTGGAGCTGGAACTCCTGTGCAAATGTCAGTTAAAATACACATTTTGTCAAGCACTATCCCCCTCCTCAACTTATAGCTGTAAACTGTGTGGGAGCTGATGCTCCAAGGTGAGATCTGCTGTAACCCTGTGGAGCAGCTACTTACTCTATGGAAGTATTCTGTCTTTCAAGCATCAATCACACTGGAGCACACAAGTTAATACCTTACTCATTAAAATATTTTATTAATAAGAAAATAATAAAGACAGCAGCAAATATTTCATTACATGATCAAGTTTTAAAAAATTTCAGAGTAAACAGAAGCACTGCAAGCTAATTAGTTATGACAATGTCATATGCCCACAAGAAAAGCAGGTCAAATCTTGAAAGTAATCAGAACTATCTTCAGCCTTGTCTGAAATGGAAAACCATACACAAAATGAGGAAATCAACCTCATAATTCATTTACTATTGCTTAGTAAGGTCTCAGGAGTGAGGACTGACTTCTCAAATATCTAAATTCTGGTTAAGCCAGTCACTATGGCAATAAAAAACAAGAGAAGAAACGTGAACATTTTAAGTCTGTATTAGGATAAAGTAATAATTTGAGCTTACAAATTTCCTGTTCACTTCTCTGATTATAAAGAAGCAACCTCTGTAGTATGCCTCCCATCCTATGTTTTACATCCAGAGATGTGTTCTTGGCCCACCACTTGTGTCCAGCAATATAAATTATCTTACGTCTCTTTTACTGTGTCCTAAACACAAATAAGTGGGTTTGGTATGTTCATGCAGTCATTTCTGCTAAGCTCAAAATGGTGCCTAGTAAAGTTACAGCTTTAATAAAAACAGCTTGTGTACTGCATCCTCTATAAAAAACACAGGAGAATTAGAAGAATGACAGCTTAAAACTTCTGCATGTGTACTGTAAAGTTACATGACGAGCTAGCACAAATTCAGAACTGCATAACTCAAGCGGGTGCAATGCACTGTTTCAAGTCATTCCTACCATCTGCATTAACAGTAATGCCCCAAGGTTCCAGCTAAGATCAAAGTCCAACTATATTACAGAGTATAGATGTTCATAATAATACCTTGCAGTGGACCAAAACATGCCACTGCAACACCTGAGGTTGATCCTACTTCCAGGTGTATCCTGTGTTTTTCTATGTGGAGATGTTGTATCTCCTGAGGGAAGGGCAGCGGTAAAGCATAAATGCTACATACAAACCACTGATCTTTCCCTCTGTAAGGGACCAGAAGAGCAGATCATAGAATCATCAAATGGCTTGGGTTGGAAGGGACCTTAAAGATCATCTAGTTCCAACTCAGATATCTGGATTCCTTCAGCTACAGCTGTTACATTCACTACAGCTGAGTCCTAAATAAGCAGATCTTGCTTCAACCAATGTATAAAACAGATGTGGCAGCAGAGAGGTGAACTGGTTTCCCAAAATCATCTGAAAGGTCATGGAGAAAGCTCATACACATGCACTACACACCACACTGTCTCTCAAACCAGCTACTAAATCCAGATCTCTTATTTCTTACAGACAACTCACAAAATCAGGCGCATACTTATGCAGCAATGCCAACAGCCAGCATCAAACATCAGCGAGCAAAGCCATGGGTTCCCAAGTGCACAGTCTTGAAGACAAAGTAGGTCTCTGGTAAGTCTTACAGAACCAGGGGAAGGGGAGGAAGGGGGAATTCTGCTGTATTTACTCACATTTAGATCACCATACAGGTACAGAAGTGCCAAGGGGAGGGAAAGGAGGAGCAGTTCTTTTCCCTACATTGTAAAACAGTAACAGATACGAACTGAAGTGACCCCTAACTGCTGCTGAGGTCTCAGCTCACCGTCCAGTGAATCCAGTTTGCTCAATACAACCTTCTCCTATCTGCAGTCACTGCTTTACAAATCAACCTCACTGTCACAGTGACTGGCAGGGGAGGGCTTATTTTCTCCAGTGACAAACAGCTGATGTTTGCCTGTTTCAGATCCCTGCGTTAGCATATATTATTCAAGTGCTGAGTTCCTAAGCAAGTTGAAAAATGTGTTATTTAAAATGTGATTGTGTTCCTGCATTGCACAATATTAATGTTGCTAAAGCTATTTAATGCTTACACATCTAATGCATTTACATAGCAATTTGATAAATTTTAACTGAACTTTTTAATAACTGTTTCTAGTCATTCATGAATTTGGCAAATTTGGACCAAATGTTTCATTGGTCTCCATGTGCATATATCATTGGTTGCCCATTCAGCCTCCTCTTCTGCATGACTAAAAATTTCTGCATTTTATGAAGATCTGCTCTTTATTTGGTCTCTCCTGTTAGACAAGGTGCATCTCAGTCAGATTTCATTTGTGTTTTCAGTTTGGCAAGACCGGTGAGACATTCATCTCTCCATTTTCTCCTGGCATCCAGGACTTTTGGAACAGCTGGAATTTTTTCAGACAGTGCCTGGAAGAGAAAATTTAAGATAACTAAATTCCACATTCTGAGTGAAAAGTTTCTCAGAATTTCTTTCCTGCTTTCCTGTGTCAGACCAAGTCATCATCTACACAAATTATCATTTAGGTTATCACAAGAGATAGGTCACTAATTCTTTCCATGAGTGACTGGAAAGGAACCAACCTGTACGGGAATAAAAATGCTCTCACTTGGATAAGGTTATCCTGAATGTGGCAATGTAGATGACTAGAGAAACAACAATTTGCTCCACACAAAGAGACTAGTCACTGTCAAGTCTCTTTGATGATAATCTTTTATTAAGTAGAAAGGAGACAACCTGGCCACATGTTGCTGAAATCATAAATGTTCTGAACCAGATTCCTGTGAGTGGTTCCCCATAAATGCAGTGAGAGATATCATTTTTATAAAAACATTTTGTCTTAAGAATAGCAGTTATTATAAAAATGACAGGGGAAGACAGGGAAAAGAAGGTATTTCTGAGTGCACACTCAAAGTTGTCTTAGAAGTGACAAGGAAAAAAAAGTTATTTTGAGAGTGCAGATAGAGATCACAAGGTCATCTTTGCCAAAATAGGACCTGAGGTCTTGTGCTTAAAAGGTGAGTGTTGAGAAACTGGGTAAAACATGGACCTGCTACCAATGACTGGCAAGCTGCAGTCACTCTAGAAAATAATCAGAGGGACGGACAGAGGAGTAAGGTAAGAAATGCTTAATGATTTACTCTAACAGACGATCCCTGCAAGCTTGTCTTAAGACACAGAAGCAGATGTTGAAGTGGAATCCAGCCTTCTATAAAGAAAGCCAAACTGTTTCACACCAGTTAAAAGCTTCTGATTGTGAATGACTCCAAAATTATTATTGATTGTTACTATAAGCAGTTGATGTTATTTAAGCATAAAAGAATATCTTTCCTCAAAATGCATTAACATAAATAGGAACACAAAATAGTATCTTCCAGACAGTCTGCCTCCATATTTGGAATTAATCTATGACAGCTGATCATAAATTATTCAACCCCTACACATATTCTTTAGTGAACCATTAAAAAAAGCACCTTTTGAAAAGGCAGAGTTGGGAAATGACAATACTTGAGCTGATTCCTATGGTTGTTCAAAATGACTAGGTAGTGACTATAAACACATTGTGGGCTTAGAAATGTTAATACATAAACTAGATTCCAATCCAGAACAGCACTTAAACACATTTTATCTTTAAACATGCAAGTAACCTTACCAGACTGCTCACATGCTTCTCCTAAACATGTATTTGCACACATGACAAACGGGAACTCTGGTTTGTGAAGTATAAAAAGAACACCCAGAAGGAAAAAAGCTACAGGTTTACGCAGGAAGATGGAGTAGGAGGAAGACACGGGATAAATATACATGTAGGAAAGGAGGCTGAGACTGATGTGATAAGAGGAGGGAAGTGGTAAGGAATAACATGGAGGATTAAATGCTAATAACCCATAGCTGTTAGCAGCTGACTCCCCTGTCTAGTAATAATGCCGCTGGTAATAATGTGATTGCTAGTTGCTTTCCCATAATCTATTGTCCAAGTGCTTTCAAAAGGGACTCACATGCTGTACTGATCTTTTCCCCTAAAGTTCATATTCACACAATAAATACACACTACAGATACCTCTAGCAGTAAACTGAAATAGCACAAATGTTAAAATAAAAACTAATGTTTTTTGTTCTGAACGTTGGTGTTTTTATCAACTCCATATTTACCTGATTGACTTTCTGCACAGTTTCACCTGAAAATTCTGGAACTGGCCCGAAGGTGTTCAGAACACATTTCATTCCTTCAGCATATCTTTCACAATAACTTGAAACACCTGAAAATAAGAGTGAAAAATTACATTTCAACAGAAATTCCTAGTTAAAGTCAGTAAGGCTGCCTGTGCTTAAGCATTGTCTTAAATCAGAGACCCAAAAAATGGACTGCTCTTTTGGTTAAGACACCTAACTGTCATCAGGAAAAATAGATTTTATCCACCCCATTTCCATTATGGTTCATGGAAAAATTATTTAAGACACGGCTGCATTGCAAAACCAATGAATGTCACATACCAGCAGAAACTGCTGTGTGAGGGTGTAGTGCACGACCATGAATATACCTGTGCTTTGTTACTTATTACTTTACAGAAAACTTCCCTGACCAGGGACCATAAGGAGAATGCTCTCACCTCTCCTCCCAGTCAGTGCATGTCATATCTTGAAGCATTCCTGTCATTACTTCTATTTTTTAACCTGGAGTGTTATCAAGGACAACATGGCTCAGGGGGAAAGCGTCAAAGGCATGGAGACACAGGTGGCCTCCAGTGAAGGAAAAATGCTACAGGAGGAACAGATGGACCCTGCAGATCAGTATCTTGCAACCCCTAACTGGGGTTAGAGACAGGGATTTGGCTTTTTTAACCCTCTCTGATGGTTGAGGACTTCTAGGGGGAGATAGGATTCACCTGACAAAGTGGAGAAAAGGCATCTTTGCCAAAACCCTGGCCCATCTGGTGAGAAAAACCTTATATCAGGGGCAACTAAGGTGTGTGGGGATGGCTCACACAACTGGAGAGATACACGCTGCAGGAAAGACAAGGAGGGGGTGTACTATCTCTGTAATGGGGCAGCTCAGATCTGTGGAGCTATTCCATGGGAAGGGTGACTGGCTGAGTGAAAGCCTGTGGACAGGCCAGTAAAACACAGCATCCTCCAAGGGCAGGAACAGTCCATCCTGATATTCAGTATGACAACTACATGTATCAAGACACTTGCTTGGATGAGCTCCAGTGCAAAAAGGTGCCATACAGCAGGTGGAAGCAGGGACAGGCTGTAAAGAAGAAATTAAAAAACACCATCTAGGCATATAGGAATGGTGTCAGGAAAGCCAAAAATCATCTCCAGTTTAAACTTGCAAGGATATCAAGGGCAACAAGATATATTTCTACTGTTAGCAATAGCCCTTATTGTTACTAGCATGCCCTTGCAAGTCTGCTTTCTACTGTACGTTAAACATTAAGTCAGTCAATGCACCAATGTCATCACGAGATCTTCAGAAGACTGAAGGCAAATACTGCACTCATCTTCAAAAAAGGTCCAAAATAATCACAGGCCAATCAATCTCTCTTCTGTCCCTAAGAAAATCAAGGAGCAAGGCCTCTTGAAAGAAATTCCTGGACACAAGAATGAGAGTGTGATTGTGACATGTAGTCTCCAATGGTTTTAAGTAATATCTAACTGACCTTGTTGCCTTCTGTGATTAAATAATTGTTTGCGAAAAAGAGGAATGTAGTGGATATAATTTACCTCAACTTTAGAAAGGTGTTTGACATGGTCTTTCATGATATTCTTATATCAAAGTTAGAACATTAGGGTCTGTCTGTTTGGACAACTAGATGGACAAAAAATGGGAGGCTCAGAGGTAGTGGTCAATGGATTGCACTCCACCTTCAGGCCAGCAAAAATGGAGTATTGCAGAAACCTGTCCTGAGACCCATACTGCTTAATAAAACATTAGGCTTGTAAATAGCATCAAACTGAGTAGGAGTGAAGCTAGAGGGGTACGGTCCAGCTGATATATTGAAGAGCAGGACTGCCCTTAGAAAGGTTGGAGGAATGAACCAATATAAAACTTTAACAGGACATATGCAAGATCCTGAACCTCCGAAGGAAGAGCTCTTTGCAACAACACAGGCTTGTGAACTCCAAGAACTCCTGGTAGTAGCAGGCAGCAAGCTGCACAGGAACCAACAGTGTGCCCTGGCAGAAAAGAGGCCAGCAGCCTGGGCTGTGTTAACAGATTGACATTAATTAACAGTAGAGGAAGCGATTAACACTCTTTACTCAGCACTCGTTAGACTGCATCCAGAATACCGCATTCAGTTCAGGACTCCCCAGTAGAAAAAAACACTGACAAAACAGAGCAACTTCAGCAGAAGCCACCAAAAAGTGGGGCCTGGAGCACTTGTCATGTGAGGAGAGGCTGAGGGATCTGGGTTTGTTCAGCCTGCAGGAGAGATGGCTTTAGGGGAACCTACCAGCATCCTGCAGTGCTGCAGCAGGGCCTGTGGGGAGGTCAGAGAGCACACAGAGCCAGGCTCAATAGCAGAAAGACAAGGGACGACAGGCACAATTTGATATGAGGAGTTCAGACTGAACACTCAAGCACTGACAGGCTGCACAGAGAGGT